AACAGAATGTCATTTTCTTGCCAGAGTCAGCGCTATAAAAGGCAATAATCGAGATTTATCCCACGCATTCTGCCGGGAGAATGATCGAAAATGGCGCCCCTCCCCACTCAGCTGGGAGCAGCCGGGAGTTCACGCGCATGCGCTCATGCCTCTCGCTCTACGCCGCGTGCTGATTGGCTCACTTGGGAAGAGAGCGTTACGGTGGTGAGATCATGGACTGACCAAACTTTCCTCATATACGGCTCTGGGGTCACGTAAGGTCACGTGACCCTCCCCCACGTGACCTAGGGGAGGGGTGGTCACGTGACCTGGGGGTCTCACGTGACCTCGGTGACGAGAGGGTCACGTGACCCCCCAGATCACGTGACCCTCCGAGAAATTTTTCCGCTAGATTTAGCGGGGAATTTTTTTCCGCTGGATTTAGCGGGGAAACTTTTCTGCTAAATCTAGCGGGGAAATTTTTCTGCTAGATTTAGCGGGGAAACGTTTCCCCTAGATTTAGCGGGGAAATTTCTCCGCTGAATTTAGCGGGAAAAATTTTCCGATAGATTTAGCAAGGAAATTTTTCCGCTAAATTCAGCGGGGAAATTGCGGGAAAAGTTTTCCGCTAGATTTTGCGGGAAAATTTTTCCGCTCCATTGAGCGGGGAAATTTTTCCGCTAGATTTAGCGGGGAAGTTTTTCCGCTAGATTCAGCGGGGAAATTTTTCCGCTAGAATTAGCGGAGAAATTTTTCCGCTAAATTTAGCGGGGAAATTTTTTCGCTCAATTTAGCGAGGAAATTTTTCCGCTAGATTTAGTGGGGAAAGTTTTCCGCTAGATTTAGCGGGAAAATTTTTCCGCTAGATTTAGTGGGGAAAGTTTTCTGCTAGATTTAGCGGGCAATTTACCCATAATGCACCGCGCAGTTACGCCGACGCCGACGCCCCTTAAGCTGGAAACGGGCGCCTAAGAGCTGCGCTCTAAAAGGACACTTCAGAAATTGTGAGGCAACACAACCAGAAGTTTCCCTAGGAATTAAAATAAGGGGTGGGGGGGGGGGGGGGGGGGAGTCTAAATTTTCAGGGTGGTGTTAGGGCCGGGGGGGGGGGGGGAATTGAGAATAGTCTTTGCGAATTAACGGGGTGCCTTCAGAGAAGCAAAGAGGGTGTACACCCTCCCCCTTCCCCCCCCCCCCCCCCCCCCCCCCCCCTATGGGGTGTGCAGGGAAATCACTGGGCACAATTCTGTCATATGAAGTGGAAGTTGAAGTCCGGCAGCCCGTCTTCTGTTCGAACACCACCAGGCGAACATCACGACTTTGCTCCATGCCTCCTCCGCTTTTCTGTGGTCTCGGTGCTCGTCAGAGTTGACGTCACACGCCTCCTGCCAATTGTGTGCCTGTTGCCTGTCCATTTGTTCTGCCGCGCCCTCGTATTTTTCGAGCCAGTGACAAATGCGCCCTGTGTGCGTACATGACTGTCTCTCATTCCCCCGCCCCCCCCCCCCCCCCCTTTTTTTTTTCTTCTTACAACGCCTAGATACACACCTCGTATCCCTCCCTATCTCTTTTCGGGAGTTAAACAGTAGTGGAGTGTATGTGTGTGTAGGCGTCGTAAATAAAGATTATGAGGGGAAAGAGAGGGCCAATGGACCTTTTCCACATACCGACGGCACCAGGTGGTGGCTGCACGAACTAAACATCGAAGAAGTGACTTACCTGCACTACCAATCGATAATGGGACTACGCTACCAGTTTCTTCGCTTTCTGAACTGCGGAGCGTGCCCAACGCCCAACGCGCCGCAGCTCAGCGCGCCGCAGCGCGTGCCCAACGCGCCGCAGATCCGTGGCGTCCACCCAAATGTCGTGTCTTTCTTTCCGTCCACTTTATTTATTTATTTTTTTTTTTTTTTTTTGTAACACAAATTATTTATATGCTGCAGTTACGTGTTCTACTCGCTGATCCACAGCCTCCTTCCGAATTTCCTCGATTTCTCGTGCCGACTTCCGCCGCTTGGCAACGGACGCTCGCGCGTGCGCAGAACGCTTCTGGGAAAAGGTCCATTGTGTACGCGCACAGAGCGCATTTGTTACTGGCTCAGCAGCGGAGGCCTTGAGCGATTGACCGACAGTCAACAGTGTGTGAGTGGCTGTCCGAAACCACGTGATAAACATGCTCAAGGTCCCCGTGAAAGACGCAAACGAACTTTAACAACATCAACAAAAAAAAAAAAAAAAAAGGAAAGTCTCGTTTTACAGTTTTTGAAGCTTCCTCTTTGGACACCACGCTGTAAATTGTGGTACCGAAACATCCTTCCAGAACTAAATGCTAGCAAGCGCCGATATGTCGCGCAGTGTACATGCTCCTGGGGCGTACTTGGCATAAACATAGGAGGCTATGGCATAACAATATCAGTATTAGAAATGTAATCAAGGTCCTCCTCCCGAATACAGCTGACCAAAGCAAAAAAGTGGGGATACAACGATATTTGAATCGCGCGCGATGATGTGACACGGCGTATATTAATACATTGTTTAATTTAATTCCTACAGGTTTTAGCTAATAACTATTTTAATTGAAAGTTATATCGAATTCAATTGTATTAAACATTAAGTTTATAACTATAACTTGATCATGCACACCACAATGTACACAAACGGTAACTCTAGGATTACAAAGGTTGAATAAACGTACAGTGCGTGTAGAGCACAAATTGCTATCGTAATCGAGCATATCCATCTGTATTTCTTCTCGATATGTGGGCTACGTGCTCGTGAGATGGAGCCGTCTTCTCGAAGTTTTTTGAAGAACAGCTAAAAAGCTTGCGTCAGTATTCCGTGAGCAGGTAAGCGTAGCTATGATTCTGTACGTTTTCAGCAACTCGCATCAAGTATTCATTTGTGCGAGCGCTGGCACAGCGTAGCGATCGCGCGCAGACACGATCTGTGGCGTCTGCCAACATGTAAAGCGAAGTTGAGCCCGTGGTAGTCCGTGTTGCCACACGCCCAGTTTGAAACCAGAGCGGGGTCGCAAGTTCGTTCATGCAAGTTCATTCATGCCCGTGAGACTCTCTTCACGTTTGCAGCCTACATCGCGATGGGGGAGACGGAGAAGCCGTTCGCGTGCGATGTTCCTGGCTGCTCTGTCGTGAGTAACCTTGATTGCAGTTACACACACATGTAAAACGTTTTGTGAGCAATGACAGTAATTAGCTTCTCTCCTCCTAGCGATTCGTGAGCGAAGACAGGTTGACGAGTCACAAGAAACGACACAGGGTTGCAGCCCTTTCTCTCAACGTCGGAAGCAGTGTCGGTTCCAAGAATGTCGTAGGTGAGTGGATTCTTTTCGGTCGTGCCTGCAGTGGCAGTCTCCTCCCTGACCACCTATTAAAAAGCAGTTCCTGAAGGAGAGGAAAGGTTGAGGTTAACTTGGAAGTATACACGGCATGTCACACAACCACTTACGCTTGTTGACTGGACACCCCCCCCCCCCCCCCCCCCCCCCCCCATGAATGAGTGTCACGTAAATTGGGCCCACACTACCTGTGTTGCCCGCTTTCCACTCACAACTTCACCTCACCAAATATACTAAGCCCAAGTGAGTGGGTCTGGATGATGGTCTCACTTGGCAAATCCTTGCACGATGTGAAGCCAAGCGAAGCTGTTCCCTAGCTTTAATTCTCTTCCTTTCTTCGAAAAGAAGGGTAAACAATACTTTTACGTTTAGCAACAAAATTGAACGGTTTTAGAGTGAATAGATGGATGGATGAGCCAGGCTTGTTCGCGTGACAGAGCTGATCAGCTGCCTTCCTCACATATTTAAGTTGGAACGTTTTCACTTGCAGAGCAAACACCGACCCCGACGAGGTTCATTGACTACATCGAGGAGTCCGGCCTTTTTCAAGAGCTGCAGCCGGAGCTTAGCACCCCAGAGCTTCACAACAATGTGCAGCACCTCAATCCTTTCGAAGCCGACTTCCGCCGAGCATCCCACGGTGAACTGATTGTCCCCGAGGTGAGAGGCCAATGTCACTTGTTGGGTCCTCACTTAATGTCAGTTCATTTGTTGTCATTTCACTGTTTCAGCAGGTTATCAGCCTACCTGAGATTAGAAGGGTTGCTTCAGTGCTTTGTTAGGAAAACTAAGATAATTTGCTTCAAAATATATGTTTTCTATCTCTGGCAAGAGTTTTCTGCAACAGTGGGAGAAATCGTCCTTGCTCGTGCAGCTCAGTCACATTCCAAGGCAAGGCTCTTATGCCTTTGTTCCGATATCATGTCATGGGCTTCAAGATTAAGCAGGTTAAAGGGATTGTGAGAGGATTCTTCAACTTTTACTAAATAGTGGCCCCTGTTAATTCTGAATGTTCATAGAACCGATGACAAGAATCCATCTTCGTTTTACTGCATTAAGGTATAGGGGGAAAAAAAATTAAAACCTGAATTGCCTTTTTTCGGAAATTTGATTGTGCTTCACAAATACTTTCTTGCCTCCTCCCAGAGTGTTATGGTTGCTTTAACTTACAACTCTTTCTTCACAGCTTGCTAGTGAAGAGGGTAATCTCATCTCAAATCCTTTACCGAAAAGTTTGACTTTACGAAAAAAAAAATTATTTGTTACAATTAAATGTACAAGCAATTTCTTCTTCACCTTTACAAACTGAATTTAGAAATTTGGTTCTCGAGATAATTTAGTCACATATGAGTGTGCCACAAAGAAATGTTATTCGCAGATAAATTTTAGACTATTTTTCTACCAGCATTATGCTTAATTTGCTTAGCATATATTTCATGATCTACATTGACATGGCATTCTCAAAAGAAGGATTAGCATGAAAACAGGCGCAGTCCTTCTGCTCTCCTGTTTTCAGATTTGTCTTCATGTTCCCCAAGTTGAGTTTTGCCGGCACGCTCGGTCTGTTCATTGCCTAAACTGATAGTGGTGCATTTCATTTGGAATTGATTCTCTGGGATCTTTCTCACTGCTTCTGTTTTGTGCTTGGCACATGCACATTCTCTCCATTCAGGCGCTATCAAGTATCAGTGCAACCGACGACTCATTGAACACGCCATGCATTCCTCCCGTGACCGCCGATCCCATTGCACTGCGTGGCATGCCTACACCCTTCACGGCTCTCATACGAGACGTCATAGACACTCCAAACCTCCTGAAAGTGGCAAAAAGTGTGTCTGCTACTACCATCAGTGTTGCCCAACAGGCTTCAGCCAAGGGACAGTGCCCAGAAGACAAAAAAAGTGAACAGAAAAGTGGGGACGACAATCAAAAAGACGATGCCTCGCCTCCGGCGGTCGAGGCTGCAGTCACTGTTGCTAGCAAAAAGGAAAAGACAGTGGATTCTATCGCTCCGGCTGCCAAGTTGGAGTGTGCTAAAACATCTGTTCTGCGAGCTTGTCCCAAGTCTCCAAAGCCGATTTCAGTGTTAATGTGAGTTGGACTACTTTTCGAAAGATAAGGGTGCTATCTACCGAGCTAAACGCTTTTCAGAGATCATCTTTTTGGTTCTTAGCCTTTCGGTCAAACTAAGAATTGCTGCTTTGTTGTTTAGCCATTGTGAGTGATCATAAATGTTGCTTCTTGGGGACCTTCCTTAATTATATTGTATAGCGCTTCAAGGTACGCTAAAAGATAGAAAAGTATATCAATGTTATAGAGGCTAATTCAATGTAAACAAATTAATAGGCAAGCTAGTTCGGTTATGTGGTCTCAGTTTTGTTCACAGATGCAGAGGAATTCAGAATTGAGAAAATTAGAAGTTTATCTATGCTTTTCGTAATCTATTGCACCAAGCCCACAAAGAAAGTTCAATTTTTTTCTTGCATGCAACAGTTCACCCTAACATGGCCATAACTATCTCTACCATGGATTTTTTCATGTTTACTTTTGGATAAAGTCTATAAAGATTTCTTTCAGCATATATTGTAAACGACTTAATTTTCGCGGGCTCAAATTTTCGCGAATCGGGCCAAAGCTTAAAATCTGAAATTATTTGCGGTTTCTAATTTTCGCGAATCGAGAGTAGCTTCAGTAGCAATCACATATTGCCTGAATTGTTCGCGGGACATTTTTCACGAATTGTTGGTGATTCGCGAAATTCGCAAAAATTTAGTCGTTTACAGTATTATTTTTTACAGTGTGGTATATTTTGATGTGTTGTATAATGTGGACACTCACCATAATATGTGATTATTGGTGACAAATGTTTTCTGAATGACATAAAAGTGGGACGTAAAAAAGAGACAAGTCTCTCCACTTGCAGCGAAAAAGTTACTTTCTAACCTCAGCCTGATTGCATTCTTTTTTGGTAACACTCGAAAAACTTATCGAACAATGTGAAGTGCTTCTTCACGTCGGTCAGAAATGCAACCATGTCAAAGTAAAGGAGTTAAATTTTTGGTGTATTTTAGACTGGATTTTGTACATTTGGAACTGGCCGATGTTTATATTCCTTCATTCTTAACTAAAACTAAAGCATTTTGGACCTACCTTATCCAAGTATCAACTCAACTTCGAATAATGTTGCAGTTCTCAGAACTAAAGCACATATAACAAGGAAATACATGTTTAATTGATACCTCACACAGTTTGCTGCTGGTACTCTCGCACTATCACTTGCACGTCCCCGTTTTAAAGTGTCCACACCTTTGTCACGTCGAGTTCCTCGGATGTTCGCTGCACATCGCAGCATAAACGAGAGATTAATGCCGCTCCCCTCCATCGAGCACTCGCTGCCTCCCGCCACGCTTTGAGTTATGGTTATCGAAGGTAGGATGTTATCGAAGGTAGGAAGGTGGCGCTCAAGGCAGGAGAATCAGGGGAGTTCCCTGCTGTGACAACTATAGCAGGTTTTGAGGTCTGCGTCTCCATTCTGGGAGAAAAAGAAACGGATTACAAAAACAGCAATCATACATTTGTGGCAACTGTGTCACGCTCTGCGCATCCTGTCTTCAGGAAGCCTGTCCAGGGCCCAGCCGGGCCGGCCAGTGGGGCCGTGCTGGCTGTCCCATCCAGTGCCCCTCCGACAGTGGCCAGCCCATTCTCGCTGCCAGTCTCGCTGCCCCCTCGCGTGCCCTCCGCACCCCTTCAACCTGTTGCTGTCGCTCCTGTACCGGTGGCTGCCCCGGTCACTGGGGTGCCTCCCAAGACGACCATCATTGCGTCGCACACTGGAAGTCTCATTCAGGTGTGCAGTTTTTTATTGATCAAAATGTTCATTCAATATCACTTTTCTTTGTGTGTCTCTTATATTACTCATAATTATGTCTCTCATTCATAATTAACCGATTCGTTATTTGGCAACCTTCGCTGTTAATTTTTCTCTTTACTTAATCCCCCCCCCTCATGAAATGCACTTCATTGAAGTTTTTTGAGGATTATTAAACAGAAGCGTGCCCCAAGAAGGATGCTGTTGAAAGATAGATTAGATTGAGCAACTAAAGACTAGAGTAGGGGCTCACAAACTGGGTTCTTAGGAGGCCAGGGGATCCCTGCAGTACCTGCAAGGGTTCCCCTGGTCCTCAGATTTCCTTGGCCATCCTTGCACTTAAGATGGGTGTCCTTCCAGTTTAGCCACTCTTTTAGCAGGTCTGGGCCAACCATTAATGCATAGCGATGAGTAGGATTCTCTGTCTTTGGAGTTTATTTTTCGCCAAATTCGGAGGGTGTTTTTAGGAGTTTATTTTTTTGCCAAAATTCGGAGTTTATTTTTCTTCGATTTCCAATTCTCTGCACTTTGGAGCTTAATTTTGCAGTGTTTTTTTTATTTAAAAAATAATATCTGGGTGTAAACTTGCGCTAGATTCAAAAGAACGAGCTTGTATCAATTAATATTTCTTCAACTGAATTTGGCATTGGTGCCGTTGCCATTGGAAATACTAATTTGTCCACGACAAAAGTTGAAAACAAGTGCTGCTTCGATAAACATTGAAACCTTAAAATCAGTAAACTCCCGAAGGTAGTCGCTAGGCAGCTTGTTGTCATCCCATCCTTTCCATTAGTCTACCGCACGGCTGCGCAGGCTGATGGTAAAGGGTGTAATATAGAAGCCTCAACTGCCCGGCGTCTTTTCCATCTTGTATGAAACCTCTATGGTTCGCACCTTCCACTGTTACAAAAACAGAAACCCTTCTTCCTCTAAGAAGCAAAAATAATGTGGGCCGAACTGGAAACTGGGACAGTGGCTTTTGTCGCGACCCGAAAGACCTTTTGTCCCGATGAACCTTGACGAGATAAGCGGTCAGATTCCTTCTGTCAATAGTCCGAGATTTGAAAGAAAACTGAGGTGACATTTTTTCAAAACTGTTAACCTTGTGTGCTGTTCAAACTTAATATGTAAAATAGTCTTTATTTTTTTTTTTTGGGGGGGGGGGGGGGGGGTGGCATTGGTACATCAAAATTCGGAGTTTATCAGATAAATCCAAATCGACGACAAAAAATTTTGCTGTTTTTTGTAGTTTCTCTTATTTTTTTTAAAAACACGGAACCCTAGCTATGATCCAGGCACTCCCTAGAATGTGCCCTATTGTTTACAAGGCCTGTAGGCTTTTGCGCCGCCTTATTGCATCAATGCCAAAGCCGGGAGAGGTTGTTCGGCTATCAATCAAAAGGAGTAGACGTTCCTTGCAGTTGAAAAGTTTGAGAATCTTGCTGGATGCAATTGTTCACCTATACCTGGTGTTTGCTTGTGGCCTCTAAAATTCTTCAGCATTGGAGCAGTTCCGTGTCATTCAGGTTTCAGACGGCATCCAGTTCCTGATAGTGTCCAATCCCCCTGGAACTGGCCGAGCTGCCGTGCAAGTGCCTTGCGTGGCCCCACCCATCGTGCAGCAGCACACCAAGACGGTAACTGTGAATTGGCTTCCTCGGGATTTTCTTCTATGTTCTAATTGTGGAGGACGAAAAGTGGAGTTGTGGCCTTTTTAAATGGTTTTGTGCACGAGCGGCCATCATTTATTTGGTGTCGATGTGCGTTTCTGCATTCCCATTATTTTGCAAAAAAAAATCTGAAAAGCGGACCGTATGTGCAAAGGTACCTCAATGTCTGTGGTCTGGAGTTTCCCACAGTAGCATTGTTTTACGAGAACTTGGGCCATTTATGATATTTCTTGTGATGCAGCCTTTAAAATACCCTGTCACTAACTTGATGAGAAGTGTGGGCATGTTTTTTTTTTTCTATATTAAATGTGCTGATGTTTGTGTGTGTGTGTTTTTTGTTTTTAATTTTAATAGGTCGTCTCCCATTCACTGGGGGTGCATCTCTGCAGCATTTCAATCTATTTCTAGTATAATCCTGATGCTAGTGCAAACAAGCAAGGAGAATTAGCATTTCTGTCACATTGCAGTTTTGTCAGAGTGAGTGCCTCAGTGACCCAAAATGCCACCTTGACACCCAGCTTACAAGCCTTTCCAGCGCTTATTCCTCGGCCGACATATGCTGAGAAAGAGTTGGAATGCATAAGCATTTTTGCAGAAGATGTTTCTCAGAAGAAAGTCACTGTGGATGCTCAGAATGTATCTCACAGCTCAGAAAACAAAGGTGGCAGCACACAGAAGGCGATCGGAATAGTTTATAGACAATCTATTAGTTATTATATTGAATTCTCGGTCTAGTTCAGTGGAGACACAAAAATTTCGGAAATTCGTATATGCCACCTAATCACACGTCCTGTACATGGTCAAGAAACTTGCGCTGTTAGCTGAATTGATTTCGCACTAAAATGAACCGATTCGTATATATTTTAAAACGATGCTAGTACATATACGCAACATTGACCAGAGGCATTTTGGACACGCAGAAACTGAAGGAAGCCCTATCCACAAGGAGCCGGCCAACCGACCTCTCGAAGGCTTTGTCAGGAAGCGTCGTGGGTGGGACCAGTCCATCGGCCAAGCGTTGCCTTCTGCCAGGAGACGCTGAATCGTGCGAAGGGTAAAAGCAGTCTGCATTACGGGACGGTGGGGTTACCGGGTGTGCCACTTTCGCATGGCGGCTTTCTACAGCTTTTGTTTGGGCTCCCTTCAAAGAAAATTCAACTATACATTGTTTAGTTTGTTCTATCCGTTCTACAAAATACGCAGTGTTGGCAGTCCAGTGCATGAGATAAAAGTATATGCAACGTATGAAACTTGAAGGTGAAAGGTTCGGCAGCCCTCTGCCTCGTTAGGTATAGTATGTACGTATGAAACCTAAGGAAGATGTGTGAAAGTGCAGGGATGGTGGATTATTTATCAATTTCTTGAAACGTTTGAACGTTGTCAAAGGACAGTGTCACTCTTTTTGCTGCGGTTTTGTTGTTTATCCGTGTGCTTCTCAACGGTCTAGTTTTGGATGAAACTCTGAAGTTTTTATTTAATTGGCTATCACCTACCAAGCATGTATGTTGGTCTTTTTTTGGTAATTATTTTTATTCATCACATTTTTCCACCAAAGTATGGGAACACTTGGAGACAAAAATTCGAAAATTTGTCCGCTTCTGAAGTGACAGGCCTTTGGGTCAAGAATTTGGTTTTGTAAGCCGAGACGAGCAGGCAGATTTTTATGGCAATGCTTTGTACTGTATACCCCTGTCAAACCAGATGATCCACCTTGCACAAACAAAGAAGGCCAGAGAAACATTTGTTGAGGCCTGCCTCGGTTTCAGATTGCACTTGTTGGTTTTACAGGAGCAAGCGGAGACAGGAGAATGGAATCGACGATGAGCGAAAGAAGAAAAACAGAGAGAACAACAGGTGTGTGCTGGCTTATAGCAAGGGTTTCTGGTTTTTGCCTTTTAATGCTCGCGAGATTCGACATAATAAATTTTATTTTACTAACGTGAAATCAATGTTTATCTGTGTTTATTCTGCATGGGCATCACTTCAGCATGTAAGATTGATGAAATGTTTATGTAAATAAGCAAGTAGCGGTGCATCATTAAGAAAAGTAACTTGTTTGTAAAGCAAAAGAGAAAAAGCATATACGACGAAAATAATCCCTGGAGGAGGGGAACGAGAGGGACAAAGGACAAACACAAGTTTCCAAACACAGCTAGACGACTGGTATATTAGATGTTAGAAGAATTCACCATTTTGTAGCTCAAACTGGGTTCACAGGAACTCAAGGCATCTTCCAAGAACCCTGAGGCGTTTGCCAAGCTCAAAGAGTTCCTTGATTATCCCTGCACCTAAGTGATGTGTTCTCCCAGTTTAAGCACAATTTGAGAATATCTCGGCTATTCGTTGATATGTAACTACGCGGCAAGCATTCCCTTTCGCATGCATTCCTCTTTACAGGGTGTGAGAGGCTTCTGCAGTGAACTGCAGAGTTCCTCTGCAAGGAACCCACGATCTGGAGTATCTCTCCATAAAAGCCAATGACTTTTTAGTGTGATCAATCCACCATTTTCAGATGCCTTCGCGTAGGCTTGCCTTTGCCGAACCACTCACTTGTGCAGTTCATGCTTGGTGGTTGCGTTGCTCCTTCTTGCACACCCGGCACACCGCTCTGGAATGTCTGAGACTCTACCTTGCGTCCCTTTGTTTCTCTACAGGTATGCTGCCCAGAGGAGCAGGCAAAAGAAAAAGAAATTGAGCGAGATCACCAGAAAGGAGCGTGACGAGTACAAGCGCAAGTTTGAGGAACTCCAAGCGAAGTACAGGGAATGTTTGGTAAGGTGTTCGCAGGACATCGTGTAAACAGCGTGTGCTCACATACAGGACGTGGATGAAGACACAGTTTTATTTCATGCTAGCAAGTACCTGGCAGAGACGACAAGCATTCTTGTATGTCAAACTCAACATGTTTCTTCATCCGCTTTTTCGTGTTTTTTTTTTCTTTTCACTTTAAGTGTGACCTAACCGACAAGGTCACGATTAGACGCCGCTTTAGCTGGCTGGCCTGTTTCTAGGGGACAAGAATAGAGATCCATGACGGCACGTTTCATGAAACTAATATATGCATCTTTGTCGTCTTTCAGTCTGACCGAGCGAAGGTGAATAGAGAAAGGATAAAAGCATTGGAGGAGAGGGCAAACACGTTGGAAGAGAACAAAGAGCTCAGATGGCAATTGTCACTCCACAGCAGCTGCCCCGTCACACTAGAGTTAAAGAAAAAAGGTATGAACCTTCTTTTTCTTTTCTTCTTTGTTTCTCTTCTAATAGCTTTTTCTTATTATTTTTTTGTCTCTTCTCCCTATGTTAATTTTTTAGCTGAGATCGGCCAACAAGGACGGAAATCTCAGGTGGTCGAAGCTGTCGCACAACCTAGCCCGGCGTTGACTCGCAGCATGGAACTCAGCGCATCCTTGACGCACATTTCGTTGCTACTAACCAACAGGGAACCTTCCTCCGCGGTTTCCAAGTAATACTACAGACGTGCCTTCTGAAGAAAAAAGAAGCACTTCCTCTGAGTGTCTTGACACCGACTGTGTACCATATTTTTAGACTATCATTTTTAGTATGTTTATCCAGACTTGCTTCTACAATTTTTTGGGTGTGCGTTACATATGTCTGGTGGGTATTTTTTTTTTTCCCCTTTTTCTTCACTTGCAGCGAAGGGTGCTTCAGAAGGGCTGAGTGCAGTATACCATTGCAATGGTCACAGCTGGAGACAATGAACAATCTACGCTTATAACGAATACCATTGGGCGTCACCACCACCGAGCCACGTTTCCCGCAGTGCAGCCAAAATACATTGCAGTTCGTTTGCAGACGGCACGGGTGCAGTTTTCAATGGAAGATGAAAACCCTCCTCAGATCAGCGTCTACTGTTGCGCCATCAATGAAATAATGTACAAACTGGACAAACCTAAGGTCGTCGCCGACAATCTCAATATGTTTTAAAAGCGAGCCGGAATGAGGAGGTAGCGCCATCTATCAATACATACACCAAACGTGCCCCACCACTCGACTCTGTCGTCTGCGCCGCCGTCCGCCAATAACCCTGGCAAGCTTTTTCGCCCTATTTTCTTAGAGAAAGGGAGCTCTGCCTTGTAATTTTACAATGTAAAACCCAATTGTGAAATGCAGCTTTGACCAAAAGTTTAGTTTGCTATGTGCCGGCGGCGATTTTTATGGCCCATTTTACATCGAACCTTGGCATTTCAGACACCTTATATTTCGAACCTCCTTTGGGAATATTTTAAAGAGGGCTTACAACCGACGACGATTGCAACGACCTGGAGCGACGGTAATAATCCATGACAATATCTTGTTGACAACCGTTACACTCTTCTCAGTGTCATATAAACAGTTTGGCCTATGCTCAATTGGCATGGATCTGTCACAATGTGTTCTAGTAACAAATATACTAAACCAATTCAAAGGCACGTTGTTTGAACCTATAACAGGGATCCAAGCCAGTTGTTCCTTTTTGAAAGCTAATCGAGCATTGCTCTAAGATCGCTTTCACTCGATATCTAGATGCCTAATCATAGCAAGTCTAAATTAGGACAAGGAGGAAAGTATATTCTTCCGATGACAGCTGAAATCACTGCCATTTGTCGCACTTTTAGATGGGGAAATTCTCTTCGCCCAAAAATTTCCCGCTTAATCGCTGTTTCCCCACAAACTCGTGACACTAGTGTCGCAGCAATAGACAAACAACCTATATCGCAGTCTTTTTATTATTGTGAAGGCAGCCGAACTGCGGTATCAGAACCGAAGCTCTTTTTCCCACTGGGCGCCGCCATATTGAACTGTAGCAAGCCTGTCGATTTTTTCGGTGCACCCACGTGCACCACTTATGCCCACGCTTGCCGTGCGCGCCGCAAGTGGAAGTCGCTCAGTGCAACTTCCCGGGTGACGTGCGCCTTGGTGTAAGGTGCAAAGCTATCCAGTGTGCGCTCCGCATGTACCCGTGGACCCAATGGAAGACACTATTAGAATATCGGCACATTGCTCCCCAATTTTTTTGTGGGTGCCGCCATTTTGTTGCTTTGCTTTGCTGTAGTTCAGGCTTAGGATGATTCAATTTTTGTCATTTACTAGATACAAATTATGCAATTTGGACACTTATTTGGTTACCTTATCTAAGGGTTGCTGAAATGAAATCACAGGATGGTCAGATGTGCCATGTGCCATGTGCCAAGCGTAATGATGTCAGCTTTCTCTACCATGTTACGCAAGAATATTGCAAGGAGGTGTATGAGATGGCAACAAGGTCTATTTCAATCCCGTCAGTTATCTTGAATTGTGTGTGCTATCAGCATTTGTTTTAACCTCACCCTGGTGCTCTGTACAGATTCTCATCCAGCCCACATCATTTATCATTTTCCTGTGAATCTGTGTTCGTCAAGGTTTGTGTAGCTTTTTGTCGCTTTAACTTTGTACAGCAGAATTCACAGCATGGCACACGATTAGGGTGTAAAAAAGGGAATGTGTTTTGTAGAGGCGTGGCATGCAAATGGAGGTTTCAGTCGAATAATGCTGCATCACTCGTAGCCTTCACAGTTCAAAGGAAAACCACATTATACAGGCTCTTTTTGCAGTGTTGAAGCTAGGAATGATGCTGCAATTTTCGGTTAGTGGTTTGGTGAAATGAGCGATGTTCTAGTAATATCAAATAAACTTCATGTAAGCGAACAATAAATATATTTATTTGCAAATAGCGATGATTTGTGCTTATTCACTGTTTTTCGTGGAATTTTGTTTGCAGAGTGGTGGACTGATGAACAAAACACAATGCATGCTTACATGAGCATACAGCTTATCAAAGCAGTATGGAAATTTATATAAAAAATGAGAATCGCTCCTATGGTCCTGGTAGCCTGGCGGTACTCGTGGTATACGAAGCGCAAGTCGTCTGCTTCTTGCGCAGGGGTTTTGGTGACATCCGAAAGATGCTGAGTTCCGATTGGTTTTGATTGGAAGGATAGGGGGTAGAATTCGATGCTAGATGCCTTGAGGTCTACCATTTTTTTTAATCGGCCAATAAGAGCTCGGCGTTCTGTCATCATCGCAATCCCTGTTCAAGAGGCAGACGAACTTGCGCTCGGTATTGGTTTCAATTTAGCCACTTTAGTAGCACTTTGAATAAGGGTGTCTTCGAAAAATATTTACAGAGCTTTTTTCACCGCAAAGATAAACAACACATTGCCGAACACTCGTTCTCCACCCAAAGGTAGCGCTAGAGGCACGAACCAGATGCCAAAATTTCAGAGCGAACCATTATTTTATTTAAATGTTATAAGCAATTTTCTGAAACTTTCAATGGGAAAATGGGTCCCGTTTTTGCTCGTTTTCGGTTTCTAGCGCCACTGGCGACAATGTTTTGGTGGCTCGACCTCGCAGGCGTCCTACTGTGACGGAGCTAATAGGACGCGAGCAGACGACGCGCTATGTCGAACCAGTAAGGGACTATGTTAGTTCGCATCTATGCTGATTAAAAGCAGTTTATTTATTAAAGAAACATGTATGATGTTTTCGTAACTGATCTTTGTAATGAATAAAGGCCTCAAAGTTGCTTTTTATATTAAAAAGCTTTATTATGTTCAAAAACAAGCTTGTAGCTTCACATTACAGCTTGCGCTAAGCCTCTTTGCTTCTTTTCGGATATGTGGAAGCTGCTTTAAAAAAAGCTTTTGCATTCACCAGAGTCAATGACTTGCTGTAGCTGTGCCCGCATGCACAGTTGTGTTAGAAAGCCGCACACTTGTTTTAGCTACATTCAGCTTATTAATACCGACACTTCTTTCCAAGTGTGACTTGACAGTTGCTGACAAGCAAATGCTCCTCAGCAACTGACGCTTAGCCCCTCCTGTATCGAGTATGTGGCAAAAAAGTTTGCCCCATCATCACTTCTGCTCAAATGAAAAGCAGAAATTTCCATAAATTCTTAAATGGTCGGATATGGTCTGGCAATTTCAGGTGATTGATTAATTTGTTCTGTCCCAATTTTACTAAGAATTGCTTACAAATTTGAAATTACTTGCTGAGAAGCGCATCACACATTATGTGCATTTGGGTCCGCAAAATTAAAAATACAAACGATAGTAATTCTTAGCAGGTGTATGTATACCTCATTTTTTGGGACTCTGAAGTGTCACCGACTTACTACCTAGGTAGATTTAGGACTTCTATCGCGAGGGGGTCTCGCACGTTTCGCGTCGACTGAGCGAATAAGCAGGGATTTACTTGGAATGACTCTGGAAGCCAGCCACAGCTTCTTCCTGCGAGTTATTAATGCGAAAGCATTAACTGTCCCATGGAGCGAAGCCAATGTTGTCTGTCCACGCGGCACCTAAATGCCCATTGGCTGCAATGCGTCATGTGGCCCCATAGCAGCGGCGTCATTATTGCTAAGGAGCCAGCTGAACTGCTGTCCGCACAGCGGGAGGGGGGTACGCAGTTATGCGCTGCCTTGATGTTAGCACGCGCCACTCAATCGTATGCTCAAGGTATGTCATCCTTAATTAAGGTCATCCTAGATGTCATCCTCTAGGACGTCATACTCGATGTAGTACTAGGCGCCGTTCTTGAAGTCATACTAGACGCCGTTCTTGACGCCGTTCTTGACGTCGTACTAGACGCCGTTCTTGACATCGTTCTTGAGGTCGTCCAAGAGGTTGTCCTCGGCGTCGTCCTAGACACCGTCCCTAACGTAGTCCTCGACGTCGTGCTAGACGCCATACTTGGTGTCAGTCTCTAGAACATCATCCTATACGTTGTCCTAGACGTCGTTTTTGACGTCGTCCTCGACATCCTAGATGCCGTCCTTGACGTTGTCCTCTATATGAGCACGGCGACGCGGATGCTTCGTCACGGAAGCCATGAAGCCTTTAATACGTGTAGAAACATTACTCGAAAACATTTCATCCGTGAGACTATAATGCTTTCGCACTCCTACACCTAAGCAATCTTAAGTGTCCTCCCGTAATTCTTTTTTAGGAAATGTTCGTTTCCTGGTTTACGAAATTAATAAAGGAACCAGCTGAAAACTAATAAAGACCAGCACTCACAGAACACATTGTAACCAACAGGATACATGGAGTCGCTTTCACTGAGGCGTTTACTACAAATGGAGAGGTCTTCGAATTTCGCTTTCCTACTTTCAGTTTGATGGACATACCTTTCTCAGTTTTATTTTGTCCGAATCGTAATAAAAAAATGCACCCCATTTGCCGTGGTATAATCTGTAGTGGGGCTCTGGATATTCTATTTCCATCATCCAGCTTTTCGTACTAGGGTAGAGAGCAGCACACCACCATCCCAGCGCTTTGACACCTTAGTGCTAAAAGTGTTTGTTAGCACGGCAAGTGCCACGGTTGCAAGCTTTGATTAAATGTCCTGCTACAAATATCACATCGCCAGATAAACAATGCGTGAAACAGGCTTTGCCGCACATTATCCAAACAGCGCATGAAGCGACCTGATGAGTCGGAGGATCCAAGATCTGCGCGATCTGTCCCAGTTTGTCCTACCCGTGACGTCAAAAACGATAGTGATGATAGCTAGATAAGCGCCCCGTAGTTCACGCACGGGCCACCATTTTCCCATTGAAATTTTCAGAAAATCACTGTTTGACGATGCATAGTTTATTTTTTTAATTAAAAAAAAAAAAAAAAAAAAAAACCAACCTGTAATTGTGTTTTAACCGTGCCCTATTTGTCGCACCGCAAAAATAACTAGACGTCGCGAAGAGCTCAAACTCCGTCAGAACGTAGCCAACGTAGCCCCTGCCGTTCGAGCAAGTTGCCGAAATTTCAACACCAACCGTTATCTTATTCAAAAGTTATAAGCTGAAAATTTCAAGGTAGAGTACAGAGCTCTATGGCGCCAGAAAGTGAAAACGGGCACAAAATGGTTCGGTTTTCACGGTTTTCACGCGGACGCCCGCGAGAAAACCGAACCATAACCTAACCTAACTGAACTGAAGTTTGGTTGGCGGATTAAGTTTATATTAAACCATGTTTGTTCCCTACTAATTTTATGACGCAACGAACCTTTGCAAGATTTGTTAACGGGCAAATATTTGAATTTCCAAGCGCGGCGGATTTCGTTGCACGTCAATATGGAAAGCACGCAACCTTGTGCCGCGATGCCAAGAGGAGGAGGAGGAGCAAGCCGAGTGAGCGAGCAATGTCGTCTCTTCCGCATGTTCCTCTTTCGAAGTTTGTTGTTACTCGGTTAAATATAGTCACGCTCGTTCCACTAACTTGCGAAAAAATGTAGGCAGTTTACAGAAAGTTTTACCCTACTCATTATAACCAGCAAAGAGCAGCCACAGAGGCGACACGTTCGATCGCACTGCGTGCGAACAGCGGATCAGTGGCGCGCGCGACACAACGGCTCGGCCCTAATGTAAACAAGCGGTTGTCCTACGGGCTACGGGTCTCGAGACGATTCGGCGAGGATTGAGGAGCCTGCGGTGCCAATTGCTGCTGATGGGAGGCGAGTCTCGATGGCTAGTGACGTGAACAGTGAATCCAGTGGTAGCGATTCCGGATCAACTCCCGAAGAAGAGAGAATCCGGCGTCTGTTCCAGACGTGCGATGGAAACGGAGATGGATACATCGATGGGTGAGTTGATGCGGTTTGCTTCTCTTCGAAGCAGAGCTGCTAGAATTATTGTTTGGCGCGTCATCCGGTTCGTGGGACGGATCATTCGTGTCGTGGTTCTGTCTGGCTGGCGGAACAACGCCCAGAAAAGAAAAAAAAAAGGAGAGGAAAAAAAATAGATCAATTTGGCATCGTCCCAGATGGTTTGACAGACCTTGGGAGCTCTCGCGCATTTATTACATGTGTCAATTAATCGTAATAAGCAAAAACAAATTTTTTTGCATATTTTTTAAAGAATAGTAAAAATAAATAGACGAGTTATTAGTACGTAATGTGCTTGGTAAAAGTAATGGCCTTCAATCGTGGTTGTCACTACCCAGGCGAAAATTTTCAATTGGGACCAATTGGTCCCAGTTGCTACTGGTTCCAGTTAGAAATTTTCGCCTGGGTAACTAACCCATTTCGCATTCCTTTCGTTGCGGTTTCACAAATCATTAAGTTTTTCTGCGATTGCTTGTCTTGCTTCTTTTCTAATGCTCATTTCACTGTTACGCGAACAATTTTGGACATTATATTGAGCAGCCCTAAATTTCTTGTGTGCATTACAGCCCTACAGTACGTTTCATTGCGGAGCGCAAGTTTTTCTGCTCTCTTTGTATAGAGGTTGCGATGATGTCAGAATGCCAAACTCTTATTGGCTGATTGAAAAAAAAAATAGTGGGTAGACCTCAAGGCATCTAGCATTGCGCGCAATGCTAGATGCCTTGAGGTCTACCCACTCTCCTTTCAATCAAAGCTGATCAGAGCTCGGCATTGTTCTGACATCACTGCAACTACTGCGGAAGAAGCAGACAACTTGCTCTCCACATTAATTGACAAAGAGTGTACAGTGCTTAAATTATTATTTAATCTCGCCCTCTCATGGAAAACTTAAGTTGGCACTTTTTTGACGGCCTTCACCGTTGCTGCAAATTTCGTAATATGGTCCATTTACGAAAAGTGGGGAGGTAGTACTTAAAAAAGTCTGTCAAACTTCTGGGCATTTGTGTTGCATACGTGAAATGTTCTAGCATCAGAAACATTTATATCATTGTTTAGCAGCTCATCT